TACAAGAGCAAAGTGGGTAACCACAATTCGGTCCCTCACTCGCTAATCAAAATGATGAGCGGCAAACCACAACTCGGTTGCTCAACTCAAAGTAAAGTGGCACCGTAAATTGCACCGTCATGGGATGCGGAAGCCATTTCCGAAGGATTTTCTCTCCATGTCGGCAAGCACATTCGGGTACAAAGCGAAAATACTCCGGTAGACGTGGGTTTGAATTTTTCGAATAATGAGCTCCGGAGATTGTACCTCATTCTCGAAGATCTTCATATTCCGAGCATTCTAAAGGAAGTACACCGTGGATGCGAGCCCCACTTTTATTGCTTTTGTTCTCCAACCGGAGCCTTGGGATTCTTTCTTAATCCACTTCAATGCACTCTTTAGTAGAGAGTTGTCTCCTCAATCCTAGCCAATGCCGGATGCCTAGCCAAACTTGAGTCGAAAGGGGGCAAGCGAAAAAGAGATGATCCTTTGACTCGGAAGCTTCCCCACATAAGGCACAAGTAGGGTCTATATCAAGAAAACCGAGTCTATCTTTGGTCCGGAGCCTCCCAAGCGTTGCAAGCCAAAGGATGAAAGCGTGTTTGGAGGTATTGGCGGGTCCCCATACCACACCCTTCTAAGGAACGAGGGTGCCTTGGGGTCTGAAGAATTCGTATATGCATGAAAGCCCCATACCACACTCTTTATTTTTAATATTAGGACATCTTACTTTTGAAAAAAAAAATAATTTTAATTATTCTATATTTAATTTGTTCTTGCAATTATATATTTAATAAATTTGTTAATTTATTTTTACTAAAATGAATCAAAAACATTCACCACCAAGCTCTTTGTAAAAAGACCAAATAAAACTAGAAAATCGGCCAAATCCAAACTCTCATAAGCTTTGTTCCTTCTATTTCTAGTTCTACGACCCAACTCACAGAAGCTACTGATTTTATTTTTTATTTTTTTTTTTCCATTGAGTTTTGGTCCAAACTCGAAACCTTCAATCTGGTATCTTCGAACGTCATTTGCTCCGAGGTAAGGATTTGCATCTGTTTCGTTTCGTGTTGTTTCTGATATTAATCTTTCGGGAAAAAATGTCGTCAGTAGCTTGATTTTGTTTTTTCACTCTGTTAGGGATATAAAGCCCCAATTTTTATCGGCCCTTCTTAGTATGTAGGTCAAAATTGAGGCGGGTATTGTCGATTACTGCATTTGGCCGAGGTTGTCAACTTGTCATATATCTATCTGATTAGCATTTTATGTTAAAAATCAAATCGTTCGAGTGAATAAAGAATGATGATGATGATGATGATGATGATGATTTCAGGGAAATTTAAGTAGGAATGTTGTCGAAAAATTCGACCGACTTCCGTTTAGGCATTTTTGGTTCATGAAAGCCTGAAAGTGTATGGAGCTGTTTGGTACATGATTACTCCTAACCCGTGCAGGAAAATCGCTGTGTTGCTCAGCTTTTATTGGAGTTTTGTTTTTCTGTAGTTCTTAATTAGATAGTGGCAAATGGATCAGATGGGTGCGGTCGATTCGGAGTTAGAAGAGCTCTTTCAGGATGAAAAACGTGTTAGGAACCCCCTCGTCCCAATCGGTAAAATTTGTGATCCTATATTATATTTTGAACTTTTGAATGCAGATCCCTTTGTTTTGTTTTTGTCAATTTGGCGTTTTTAATGCTAACAAAATGAGAAAACATGCAAGAGTAGCATTCTTATATCTGTCGGAGTTTGTTTAGCTACAACAACTGCAATCAGCACTAGAAAATAGTTAGTGTTATGTGTTAGGTCCCACAACTGTGGATCTATTCGAAGTAACTTTAGTGTGATTCATTTCGTGATAGTTCTTAACCACCATGGTTTCTTGAGGTACAAGAAATGTTGGCTCTTTTATCGACACTGTTCATTTCGTGATAGTTCTTAACCACTATGGTTTCTTGAGGTACAAGAAATGTTGGCTCTTTTATCGACACTGTTTGAGAATGTGTCTTCCTTTTATCGACACTGTTTGAGAATGTGTCTTTCTTGAAAATATACCGAACAAAACGCTGGGCAACTGAAGATATATTTGTCCTTGTGTGTATACTGTAGCTTTAAAACGCTTAGTTGCAAACTCAAATCTTCTTATTGGATTATTCAGTTGTGGTGTAACATAACATTAATACCATTGTATAAAACAGAATATAGAGTATTGGTGCTTGTTTATCTTTATTTTGGTTTGCTGAGAAGACGTCGCACGAAAAGGGTTGCCCCAAAAAGTAGGTCCGTCACTAGTCTTTCTCCGTAAATAAATGATAGTTTCTTGGTTTATCTTATGTACTTATGATGTATTAAGGAATAAATTCATCCAAAATACATACTTCAAGTTTGAGACAAGCCAAGGTTCTGAAACCATTTAGTGTGATATGATATCACATATAGAAATCCGTTTCCTGCTTAAGATTAAAGTTGGGATTACGATGTTTATATAATAGAAACTTAGTTTTGAATTACTAATACAGGGAGGAGTTTGGTATTTGATCTTACTAGGCTTATCCAGATAGCGAGTGCCCCTGAAAATGGCACGAGCTAGGTCCAAAGGGTTGGATTTAAGGATTCATTCGATTTTGTGCATATTAAGTGTTTTTTCCAAAACCTTTCATTGTTCTGTAATATGTGTTCTTTTTATTTTTATGTTTGAATACACTCGGAAGGTTTTTTGTGTGTCAGGTGCTTTTATGACAGCCGGGGTGCTCACAGCGGGTCTTATTAGTTTCAGGCAAGGGAATTCTCGTTTGGGCCAGAAATTGATGAGGGCCCGTGTGGTTGTGCAAGGCGCTACAGTTGCACTAATGGTTGGTACAGCTTACTATTACGGGGAAAATTTTTAGAGTACTACACGAGCTCCATCATGCTTCACGTTCCTTTTCACAACGAATAATGCTTTTCAGGGATATTTTTCTCCTTATTATCTAAATATCCTGTATTCTGAATTTGAGAAAGGGAACGGTTTCGTGTAAGCATGTAGGTGCCACGGAGGAAATTGGCAGGCAGGTGTCCTCCGAACTTGTGTATTCAATCCATGCACGACTTGTACGGCAGTTGTTAGAAACATTGAGATCTAATGATCAAGAATATATGCAATGCAGCCATTGTTGCCGTCAATCGATGAATCCAAATATGATCAATTAAACGTACGTTGATTTTATTGTCATCTTTTTTCTACCCAGTCAATATGCTTACTGCATGCATACCCCTTGCTGAAATTCTTGTAATATTTTAGTAGCTTGAAATGAAGGCCACACTGTGTATTAATTAAAGCTGGTAAAGACAAAATCCAGGTACATTTTCACGATCTTAGAGAATTAATCACGACAACACAATCACCATCAAACTCAACCAAAAACTCCCTTGTAGTCGTACAAAACAATGAATACGACTATTTATACCGCCGCGTTTCAAAGATGATTCAAAAATCGTTGAAAAAACAAGCGTATTTCCATCATACAAAATATATCAATTTTGTTGATGTTAGGTGCCTTTACTCACCGACGCCCTCTTCTCCCGCGGAAGCCCCCTCTCCCTCTGCCACGGCCTCTCATCCCGGGTAGCTTCAGTGACTCCACACCCCTCCTCTTCCCGGGACGCGTGGGCCCCTCGTCGTCCTTATCCTCATCATACTCTCTGTATTTAGCCGAGCTCCTGGGATTGAAGGAGATTTCTCGGGACCCTCCTTGACCATGTTTGACCAAACCCTTGGAGCCTTCCGGTTTCGTCAGAGCCACCCTCTCTCCCAGAGAAAGGGACTCCTCATACGCGAGCGACTTGTTTTTCCAGAATGCGTCTGCATGCCGTTCATCCTTCACTTCATATAATCTGCACACACACACACACACACACACACACATAATAATTATAATAATAATCACATTAATGAAAAATGACAATTAAGAGAGTAAGAAAGGTCTGTGTATAAAACTCGCCTTGGAACTTGCGACTTTTTCCCAGATTTGGGATTGGTATTATTGTCGAGTTCATCTTCGGATGGGGATGATCCATCAGAACCGTCAATGCTTTGATCCTCTGCATCAATGCTTTCAAAATGCTCGTCCAGCAAAGATGTTGGCTTCCTTGGTGTAGCTGTTGATGCCATAGGATGAAGGGCAATGTACTCTTTCGAGAACTCATCAACCTCAAAGTCCTACACAGCCATTATCGTAATCCAAACATAGTATTTGTAATGCCAATTTAGATAAACAAAGATCCAGCACATATATACAACAATCAAGTCTTCACCGCATTTTACATGCTTTGGTGATTTTGGCACCACTATTTTCAGTAAAATGACTGAATAAAAGTAGTATAATCAATCATGTTTCACAATTTTGATGGACAAATTTACTGTACAAATATCATTATAGAATGAATTTTGATATTACCTTGTTTTCGAACATAGATGTAAACCTCTCGTCTTTGAGGACTTCACTGGTAAGACCTTTCTTTTTCTTTGATGTTTTCTTAGCAACAGCTCCATCAGTCTCCTTGTTATTCTGTTCTTCCTCTTCTTCGAGGATTTTGGCTGCCAGAGTTCGATTAACTTTGGGGAGCTTCCTCTTGATCTGCAATTAGCCAAAAGGATTTGTTTGAAAAGTTGTTCGGCAACTACAGGTAATATCAATATCACCTCATGTATTTCTTTCTTTTGTTCATTTTTCCTGTCTTTCTGATTCAATCAAATGAACAGTAAACCTAATAACCATCTATGCTATTGCTCGAACTTTCAGTACAAGCTTTATTAAAAACAAAAAAACACTTGATACATGTGAAACAAAACGAACCGTAATTCTTGTGGAACGCTCAGCTTCTTTTTTCTCCTGCTTTCGCTTTTCTATATAAGACTCATAAGCAAAAGGCTCCGCCAAACTTTTTGCCTGCATAACATATTTCATGTTCTATTAGGTCGAAACTTGAATGAATTTCAGAAGATAATTAAGATATATAACAAATCAAAATTTTAATAAAAACAAAAGGAAAGGAAACAGAAAATATTCCAATATGACCAAGAACATGTACGTAGTTGTGTATTTCTGTTCCCAAGATATTGACTATTACCTTCCTATACAGCTTGTAATCAATGTAGTAACCATGCATGGAGGCATACAGAAGATTGGTTCCAATCAAATTAGTCAAGTTCAGTTGGGCAAGTTGCTCTTTCGTCAAGAATTTATAATCATCACAAATAGTTATTTCACCACCCTCCTCAAGCTCTTCCTGCACAGGCACAGATTAGCAAAATTATCAATAAACAATAACTATTATCGGTTCTTTTTTCGGATGCCAAACACATTAAATAACCATACCGTTAAAGTCTCCAAATATGACAGCCATTTGGGAGCAGGCCCGAGGGCTGGTATGAAGTAACAAGGTATATGGCTGCTGTCCAAAGCCAGCAAAATCAAGCCACTTTCTTTATAGACACACATATCATTAATTTTACCGGCATTCGGTTCAATGCTGGTCATACCTTCTCCCTGAAATTAAATTAACTCAGCTGAGCTTAACATACCAAAGAACGTGGTAAATTGGAAATTTAGAACTACAGTGAAGTAATGGTTCACCGTCTCAGGGTCCCATATCCTGACAATGTGCTCATCAGCAGTGATTAATTTCGATTCCTGTGAGTTGAGAGTTTTATGCCACTTGATATTCAGAATAGGGCTTCCATACCTGCAAAGACAATTCAACGAGGTGAAGATTGAGTGTGATTAATCAATAAAATATTAACCAAAAACAATTCAGTCATAATTTCACATATAAGTAAAAAAAATGTCAAAAGCTAATAAAAAACTTACATATGATCCTTTACTCGCATTGGATTAGATGAACGCATATCATATATTAAAACCTGCATGATTTTCAGAACATATGGAAAATATAATTAGTTTGGTCATATAGTAACTCGTCCGGAAAACTAAAGAACACAACATTCAGTTCATACAAATATAACTTCGCAAAAGCAACCAATCTTTTCAAGTGTCTGGTATTCCAATGCACACTAATAAGGATCACATCTAGATTACGTTTTTACTACTAATAAAATAAGGCTCTCTAATCAATTCTTGGGACATGGTGACACACCACCAACCGGAGCTATATAGCTTCTGTGATCACCCAAGGTAGAAAATAATGCCAGAACTCAAAGCAGCCTTTATATTAAAGTTATACAAAAATGGTTTGAACCCAATGGTTAGTTCAATGAATATATCCCAAGGAGTCAGGTCTATTGGGAGAATGTGCCAATTTCCTCCATCAAAGATGTAGTTAAATTCATAACTACTAATTAATATAAAGCAAAAGATTCAATAGAGCACAACCAATAAAGAGAAGACAAAGACAAGGCAAATGACCATGAAATTATTTAACATGCCACTTCTTGCTCACCTTCCCACCACTGCTTCCAACAGCCATGAGATAACCTCCATCATCATCGAACTCAATTGCCGTAACCTCCTGAAATTATCACATTTATTAGGAAGTCGATCAAGAAGACTACCACTACAAAGCATATTCAGGAGACGGCCATAAGTTATTGGCAAACCAATTTGACCAGAAAGCAAAACCGTGATGGATAAACAAGGTATATTCAATTCGATTGGAAAGAAAATTTTTAACAGCCGAAGCATATCCCAAGCGCAATCGCTGCATCGGGAAGAAACTCTACTCACCCCCAAGCCTAAAGCTAAAAATCTGAATTCAACAAAAAAATAAAATAAAATAAAATAACTGGGAGACAACCGACAGTCTGCTTAGATAGTCATAACCCTAAATGTAACCCTAATAGATATTCCAATCCAATGGGCGCAAAAAACCAATAACTGAATTAAACAAAACAGCAACCAATCCCTAACAGTGACGATACCAAGTTAGTCATCATCTTCCAGTGTTCTCCATGTAGGTAAATAGCAATGCAGTTTCAAAAAGAAACTTATAAGTGTATGTGAATAGGTGAGAAATAAGAAAACAGATGAAAATAAAACAAGCTAACAAGCTAGTTACCCCATCAATTTCACCAGCAGATGCAGAAGCATCTACTCGACCAACAGAAGACCTTGTCCTCATATCAAAGCATTCCACAGCTCCATCCTCACCACCACTAGCAACTAATCCATGGACTTTGCTGAAATGTGAAAAGGGAGCATTCAAATATTCATTCATAGGAAAGATTGATAACATCCGAAAAGGAAAACTTATAAAACAGGATTGAGTTGATCATAAAATTTCTGTAAAAGGAAAAAAAATAAGGTTCTGCCAACCTTTGAGACACAACATTCAAAGCTGGTGACTGAGTGCTGAGTGAGGACATGAAACGTCCCTGCAAAATACATTATTAGTACTAGAAACTTCAAAGGCAGTTGACATAGTATAAGGAGATCGGAAAAAATATGTTTTGAAATAGAGGCTGTCTGCTTGTGTGTGAGCATACAAGGAGGTGTCTATAGCAAGAAGTGATAGAATTTTAAGCATCAAGGCTGTAAACTTATCAGCAGCAACAAACCTGTTCTAAATTAATTCTGTACAGATCTGGAGAGGAAGCAGCACAAATTAAATCACAAGACCAGTTGTCATATAATAAATCTCTTCCCATCCTGTTAGAAAATAATCACAACGTCACAGGGTTACAAACAACTTCCTTTCAGCAACATTTTATCCACGCTTTGGCAGGTTTTCGGGAAACTTATTAGTGAAGATGCATAGTAATGTCATCAACTGAAGCATAAAGAAATTACTAGCTGTGGTGTAATTAATAGAATTCAACAGAGAGATAGTATCAGGAAATTATTGTTGAGAATAATCCATGAAAATATTTTCTGGAAGGAACTGGCAAAAGTTTCTAGTGTTACAAAATATAACACATAGTAGGGTTTCCCTTTTTGCTGTCATTTGTGTGGGTGTGTGGGTGTGTGTCTGTGTGTGTGTGTGTGTGTGTGAGAGAGAGAGAGAGAGAGAGAGAGAGAGAGAGAGAGAGAGAGAGAGAGAGAGAGACCTGGGGATTCTCAAGCTGTAGTGACTCCCATATTTTGCATGAAGACAAATAGAACGATCAGCGCATAAAAATGCAATCTTTGAATAGTCGTCATCTAGTACCTGATAGACAGGAAAACCTTAAATTTCCATAAAATGAAAGGATATAAGGACAACATTAAACGTTGATATGGATATTTATCAAGTGCACATAGTAACAACACTAAAATTATAAGAACATTACTGAAAATAGATAAATGACGGCAGAAAGTAAGTTCACCAAACTTGTTTAGCTCAAGTTCATCGAACTTAATTTGTATAATGTAGGAAAACACTACCTGGAAGTCAATGATTTCAGAAATTAAATGTCTTTCAAACTTCAATGACAATTCCCTAAGCTCATACACCTTGACTTGGGGAGGGTAAATACCTGATGGGAAATAATGAAAAAAAAAAGAAAGAAGTGTAAATAATTAATAAACCTCATGACATACAGATACAGTTTCTCACAGTTGGTGCACGTAAAATATAACGATTACCCGAAGCGATAAGATACTCCCCATCAGGAGTGAACCTAATTCTAGAAGTCGCAGTCTCAAACTTCAAGTCCTGTATGAATTCCATCCTTTGCAAATAATCTGACAAATGATTGGCAAAATATTCATTATTCACAAAATCATCATATGCCAAGATAAAGCCAAAGGCTTAATCTCCTTAAAATGTTGAAATTTGTCAGCAAGAAACAAAATTCGACTTACGGCAAAACTACTCAAACAAATGCCATTATATAGTATGCAACATATTCTGATACAGCTACTATACAACTTCTCTTACAATCAAATTATGTAGATATAAAGACTAAATTATCGTTCTAGCGTGGGTGCACACACACACATAGAGAGATAGAGGTTTGGGGTTGAATAAGGAACAGTAAGATCGACTAACAAGCAAAGCCCTGAAAACGAAATTGTCCATCTTCTAGCTTAGTTCATCACCTGGATTTTTCCGTAGTGCTCTGAGCTTCTTAGGGGCAAGCCATGGAGCATTCGAGCGGCTAGCGGTGACGGTGTACACTTTCACTCCATTTATGGTGGTCGACTTCAAGTTTCCACCTTGATAAGCCATTTCTCCAAACTACTTTAAGCTTATCGATATGAATGTCGCTTCTAATATAGCAATTGGGAATATAAAAATCCAAGGCAAGAGCGTCTCAGTTTCCTGCAGACTCAGGCTGAGATGGGTATCAGGAAGTTCCCCTGTTGCACGGACAGAGAGAGAGAGAGAGAGAGAGAGAGAGAGAGAGAGAGAGAGAGAGAGAACAGACAAGAGTAATTAAGAATCCAAAACCCCCCAGTTCAGAAATACATAAAACCCTCGCAAGAATTTCTGGTCAAGAAAATAGAGATCCAAAAGGAGCTAAATTAGTTACCTTTCAGCACAATAAGCTACTCGACGATAAGCGTTGAGGAAAGTCGCCGACGTTTGAGTTCAGGGCCGCCGCCGGTGGCTATGAAGAAGGAGAAGCTAAACAAGAAAAGCGCGGTGTTTTCTCCACAGTGGCGGCTATTTGTGTGTGGCCCATTATCTAGAAACTGAACATAATAAAATAAGAGAAAATTAGGCTAGGCCCAATAGTTCACTATAACTTACAAAAAAAATTATAGAGGAAATTGCATCCCATACTAATATACTCAAGATTCACTTACCTAAAAAAGTGGAACAAAATAATTCAAAACATCCTGCCAACATCACCCACGTCTCGTATCAATCTGCAAAACCTCTCCAGAACTTCTCCCAAATTCAAGCTTCAATGGCCAAAACTAAAATCTCTCATCTTCATCGAAACAATCCAACAACCAGGCCGGATCCAAATCTGAGAAGCTAGGTCGGATCGCCGAATGGACCCAGAACCTCAACAACCAGGCCCGATCCGATCCATGAATAGCGGAGGCTACCACCCGTTCGACTGTGGGTATTCTCTCCCATCAAATCAAGAAAAAAAGAACAGAACAAATTGGCGGAGGCTACCACCCGTTCGACTGTGAGTTTTTTCTTTCCCTTTTTTTCCATCACTGTATAAAATTTTCCCCTTTTGTTAATTCTTTCTGCTTTTGTTACACTATCATGTGTTTGATCTTTTTGATGAGAAAAGAAATGGAGTTATTGAGTTTGAAGAATTTATCCATGCACTGAACATATTCCATCCCTATGCTCCATTGGAAGAGAAAATAGATTGTAAGAGATCACATGTGTTTTTTATGGTGTAAATTTTTACATTTTTTCAGCTATGATATGATTGTTAGGACTCAGACTGTTGGGAACCACAAATTTTCATTTCGGTTGAAATAATTGAAGCTTATGTTGCGCACTGCCATTCTCATATGTATTTCCTTCATTTCAGTTGTGTTCAAGCTTTACGATCTGCGACAAACTGGGTTCATAGAGCGTGATGAAGTAAGTGCTCATTTATGAGACTTCATTTTTATACAGATACAAACACGTAAATTGGAGAAGTCAACCCGAGTTTCAAGCAAAGAAGACATTATGATTGTGGTCGGTTTTCTGTAATTTTTTCTTTTTCTGGTTATGTGTTTGGTATATCTAATGTAATTGTTCCATAATAAGAAAAAAATTGAACTTATAATCTTTCTATGCTATTTATCTGGTTATATGTTGGGTATATCCGAGGTAACTTTACAGTTTCTGTAATATGTTGGGTACATCCGAAGTAACTTTTCTCTAGTTATCTGGTTATATCGTTGGGTATATTCGAGGTAACTTTTCTCTCTATCCAAAGTATCTTTCCTCTTTCTATGATATACACTTTGTCACTGGCTTTCTGCACATGTTACACATTTTTAGTATATTTGAAGTATATTTTTGGTGTATGTCAGGTAATAATTCTCCCCAAAATTTCAGTATATTAAAAGACATAATTTTTTCGGTATAAAATTCCACGTCCTCGTTTTTTTCGGTAGATTTTTGCGTATATTTCCAGTAAAAAAAAAAGACATAATTTTTTATTGTTCAGTATATGTTGTGTGTATATGGAGTATATGTTCAATATATGTTCAATATATTAGAAGATTTATTTCTATATGGAATATAAGTGAATGTTATAATATGTTTAAATATACTTGTATGTATAAAAGTAAAAAAAAAAGACATAATTTTTTGTGGGAGACATATTTTTTTTTATTGCACATATACTAAATATATACTAAATAAACTCAAAATATACCATCTGGCGGCTGCATGAATTATAATATTGCAACATACACTGAATATATACTAACATAAACACAAAATATACTACCTGGCGGCTGCTTGAATTACAATGTACAAGTTGCGTGAATTAATAAATTAATAAATGAATCAGTTATTATTTTTCTTTTCTCTCTCTTAATCAAATCCACAAAAAGGGGGATGGAAGTTGAATATATATGATAACTTATTTAGGCATTAATGTAGTTATATATTACATTTTAGGTAGATGTGTAATTATTTGTTTATAGATTATATTCTTGTAATATTTTTAAAATCTTGGTGTATAGATTAAAATTTTCCAAAATTATATGTCCACTACACAATATTATATTTATTATACATTTACAACTCATATATTTATTTGTAAAATATCTAAACTATCACATTTATTTGCAAGAAGCTCGCGATAGTACCGAAACCCTCATCTGCGCTTAAAGTCCGTCCTTTTTCCGGTCGATTGCCTTCTTTGTCGCCGGTGTATGCACGGCCAAGGGTCGTCTAGACCGCCCTCCTCCCCCCTCTGACGTTCGCACCTCCGATTTACTACGAATGGCAGCGATTGGGGTTCCTGTTCCCGGTAGCGGATGGGGCTTTTACCGACGACAGCGCCTCTTTTGGTTGACGATGGACCTCGGTGTGGTATTCTCTCTTCCTTTGCATTCATTGTCCCACCTGGAGAGGGCAAGTCTCTGGTTCTCAACCTTGTTTGCTCTGTTTGGAATAGGCCGGTCTCGGCGAGGCTCCGCCTTTCTGGTGGGGATCCGGTCTCTGATTGTTGGTTTGCTGTGGTGGGGTCGGATGGGGAGGGGCCCCGATGGCTGTGGTGGTTCGAGCTACGGCGGTTGGGGCTGAAGACTCGATTTTCTCTTACCCTCCCAGTTCGTCTAGTGGTGTTAGGCGGCCGGGGTATGGTGTTTGATGCGGATAGATTAATTATTATTATTATTATTATTATTATTATTATTATTATTATTATTATTATTATTATTATTATTATTATTATTATTGTTTAGTAGATTGGTGAACAAGTTAGGTTTAGGGCTTTATGAGTATTATTTAAAGACTCCTTCTTCTTTGTTATTGGCAGTTGATTATGAAATAAGAAATTTGTTCTTGTGTGTTTTATCGAGAGAGAGTATCTCGTTTATCCTTCCTACTCGTACGCTTCCGTACATCAGTTGGTATCAGCAGTCAGTACGATCGCGATGCCGCCGGAACGACAAGATACCGCAAACAAACAACGTGATGCATCTTTTAACGATCGGTTTCAACAGATTGATTACTGATTTCATGAGTTGGACGTGCATTTCACGGATTGGTTTGCCGATCTTTCGACGGGGATCGAGGATTTGCATTTGACGCTTAACAACGTGGTTGTTTCAGAATTGCAAATGAACCACGATGGGGTTGTGGGTCGTGGCTTTCGCGGGGGAGACATAGGCGGTCGTGGAGGACGCAGCCATGTAGGGGCACCCCGACAGCTGTCTCGGACACCTCTGAACGACATCGTGGACGGCGACGATCAACGCAGCGACATGGGCTGGCGCGAGGAGGCAGCCTTCGCTGGCGGATATCGTGCTCGACGTGATTGGGGACTTGATCACGAATATAGTCAATTTGAGGGCCCGTTTCGGGTGGTCATTTTCGATTTGGATGGAGAACAACATGACGGACCGTTGTACAACGGTCCTCCGATTTTCGATGAGGAGCCTCCGAGGCCAGAGGATGAAGCTGGAATTACTGCTATTAATATCGTTGAACTTGATGCGATACTTGGTGGCCGCATTGTGCAGTATAGAGAATTACATGGGCACGAGTCTGACAAAGTTTTGTCATATTTTAATCCATGTTTCATACCCCTTGAAGGTGGTGTTGAATTTCTTAATTTTATGATGCCCGGGGGTGTTTGGGTTGGAAGTAACGGTCCTATGTGGTGTGGGTCGGCTAGAGTGGATGTTAGGAGACATTCAATTTCCGTGATCGATCGGGGAAAACGTAGGACGATGGTTGCCATGGGTACGCCTCCGGTGTCAGCACGTTTGGTGCGGCTTCGAGGGCGAAGCCTTCCGAACTCGAGGAGAATGATGCGGATATATTATTATTATTATTATTATTATTATTATTATTATTATTATTATTATTATTATTATTATT